ACGTGTTATAACTAAAGATTCGAGACAAATAAAAGTAACTATTGAGATCGCCTTTGTATTTGCACATTAATAATTACCGGCATCCAAAAATCTATCAGCATTATTCAAAACCAAGTCATGATTGTCAGCAGTTTCATCAAAAACTGAACGATTTTTTAAACAGAAAATAGAAAAAATTCACAAAGTTCGTACAGCTTAAGTGTTTGAAACGTTAATCATAAAATGTTTTTCCACTGCAAAGAACTTTATGGTCTTGCCTTTCTTACATCAGTATTAGGAGGAAATAGTGATGAAACGCAAAGCTATTTTGGCCAAATCCAACTTTTACAACAGTTCTGATGTCAGCGGGCTAAAATCAAACGTTTTCCTTGTGTTAAATTTCGTTGATGAATAAAGCTGATAAGTTTCACGACTAAATTTCTACATCATCAACATCTACGTGCTCAGTGATTTTACAGCGACTCTTTCCTATCTCAAGTGTACCATGATTTTTGCAATTACTTCCTATCTTACAAAAACGATCTATAGTTCATTGTGAGTGCAGAGAGTTTTTTCGTCGAAAACATATGACGTAGAAATGTTTACCCTTTTGTGAATTGTCTGTTTTTGCTTCTTCCTTTCGTTGTTTGGTTGGTGACTGATCGTTTATTGTTTTCGCAACCTGACTTATTAAATACCCATAACTGATTCCCGATTCACTTGGAAATGATTCTTTATTGTCATTCTTTCGATGTTGATCAACTGTTGTCATGAAACAGAACAGTGTATGTAAATTAGTTGAGAGGAATTTCAATGTTATCTCAGTAGCCCGAAGTTTAAACAAAAACTTTTTTGGTGTTTCAAAAAAACGTGATGTGAAACTCGAGACGAAATTTTAAGAAATTAAGAAAAGTATAGAGAATACTTTTTATAGGAGAGATATTCGTTTTTAGAACAATTTTTAGGTGTTCTTCTCCTGGATTCGACCTTCCGAATCCAGGAAGATTCTACAATAAACCCCGTTCTAACCGCTCGAGAGAGTTATACATTTAGTGCTTTATCACTAGCAGTTGCTAGTAAAAGTACCCAAAAAATGGAAAGCAAAATTACTGCGTGATTTTTTTTTATACGTTTCCCCTATTTTTGCTGTTCTCTTTCTACCTGACAAGTATTCGTCCCATTTTTTGTTGTATTTTGTTTACATTAAAGTGTTACATTTTTTTACCGACAAAAATATCTTAAACGGTATAGAACGTTTTTTTTCCTTGTATCATTCACAGCTCTCTTCTTTGTATGGACCACGATCGGAAATGGCGACCGTACACTATCATGGTCATCTCTTGTTACAAGTACTAGCGCATAATAGTCTGTGTTTTTCGTCATGCTTTGCTCGTGAATCATATTTAGCTGATGCGTTGAAATGGTGTCACGGAAAAAGATATGTCCTACAGCAGCTTGTAACATGGTACGAAGTTGACCAGAACACAAGAGAACAAAATTTTTTTTCTGTTAACAACATTTTTTTTAAAGAAAAATTCTGTGATGATTACGTTGATTATCGTTTTATTTCTTCTCTTCAACAACATTTTTCTACGTGTTTAAAAGATATTACTCAGGATACTACAAAATGTGTGTTTTTTTCTCGTTATTATCGTGGGCTTTCTTGTTGCCACTCCCTTTCTTATTCTAGGCGTGGTAACGCAATCAGTCATTTTGTTTCTGTGAAGTGTGATGAGTGTTCTGTGCCTCGCAAATCTTGCTTTGGTTGCGTTCTTTTTTTCTTTTCTGCTAACTATGTTCGTTATGCTTTTATCAGACAGCATGAATGTGCGCAACGTAGTCTACTTGATCTTCTATGTGTGTCAACTCCTAGTTTTTTGAAAAAATATATTGATTTCTACTTTAAATTTTCTAACGGGAATGCTTTTTTGTATAAAATTGTTCCTGTATCGTTTCTTTTGAAAAAAGTTATAAAAATTAATTGTTTAGAAAGTGATAACTGTTTTATATATACGGATATCGAGTTCGATTTTGAACATGATTGAATTGTATATTGTTGATAGTGTTGCTAATAAATAAAACGTTGTTATTTGTCTCGACACCCACATTTGCTGGGTGTTTTTTACCCTCCTTCTCTACGTTATAGGCACTGACAAGAAAAAGACTGCTTGTGCTAATGCTTATCTTGCGTTTCTCTTGAGTGTATTCACTCGATACAATACTCGAGTGGATATTTTCTTAAGCTCTGTAGACTAGATATTGCACCTCACGTTTTTTTAACTTAAGTGCATATGTAGCCATAGGTATGTGCTGAATTAGAGTAGCTCACTGTAGCTCAAATCAGGTTTATGTCCGGTGTATCTGTTAACTCCTTATCTAATGCTTTTTGCATTTATGTCTAGCTGTGTATTTTAGTTTTAGATATTCTCACATCATGAATTAAACTAATCTATATCACTGATTTTCTACAATCAAAACGACCATGAATTATCCACGAATATCGCAACGATCAAAAAGAAAAAATCAATTGTATGATGAAAATACGTATTGTCTCGTTTCGTTTACTGGCAAGGAAAAACATTCTATTGTTCCAAAACAATTGTGTGAATGTTGACACCGTCGATGAGAATAACGGATCAATTCGATGTTCCGGCGTTTTACAACCTATTCAAATAATTCAACACGGTAATGTCTCGTTGTCCATGTAAGAGATAATTTTACATTCTCTGTAACCATCTTTCAGGATCAAAAGAAGATTGTCACATTAGTGAAACAGCGTATAAAAAGCAAACTGGTAGTGAAGAAGTGGAAGTACAATTGTTTTATGAAAAAGATATAGATGATGATCACATGTATGATAGAAGGAAAGGATATGACGATGACGAATGGGAGCCAAGTTTGTTCTAATTTAATCTCCATTTACAGAAAAGTAGTGTTTTTTAATTTATAACAGATGAATCAACAACAATCTTACAAAATGTTATTGAAAAATTAAACTTTGAGAATCTTAACGCTTACAACGACGAAACAGCAGTCAGCAAAGCACCATTGAAGGCGAAGAAGATAAGACCAAAGAAGAACAAAAACAGAAAACGACGTTAGTATACTGAACACGTTGACTACACTCTAAAAAAACGTGTTCTTCATGTTTTCAGAGAATGCGTTAAAGATCTCATTCAAGTTTTTTGAAATATGAAGAACTTAATTTCTATTTTTCAATAAAAAATGATTTTTTCACTCATTTCAGTTTTTTGGCTCATTTCAGTTTTTTGGCTCATTTTAGTTTTTCAGAAATTTTGTTTTTCAAGATTTGGAAAACTCAATATTTCTTTTGAGTTCTTTGAAGATCTTCAAGTTGAAAAAGGAAAAGAAAATCATATATTTCAATCACCGCTTTTGTTTTGCGATTCCTAATATATATAAACGACATGATCTTTTCTTACAAAAGCTTAAACTTACTCTCAAAAAGTTCTGTTTATGTACAACAATGTGCATACTTCGAGAACAGGTTTGTTATTGACCACACAGTTCTAGAATTCGACTTGAATCCAACGAGTCGAGTACCTACGGTGTTTGGAACCTGATTCGACCCGGGTCGAATGAGATTCCAAAGGACGGTCGAGTTAGGATGTGGGCTACATATTTTTCTCTACTTGTGCAGGTTTCCAGTTGACAATATTTATACTGAATAAAAGAATAATTCTACATATGATCACAGATATCGTATTGATTAGAAAAAGTTGGCTAGTAAAAAGAGGAATTAAGATCCAGATTTTTGAAAAAGTCGAAGAACAGAAATGTATTTTTCGACCTGATGTTTTCTGGAAAACAAATGTCCCAAATAGGGATCTAAAAAAATGAAAAACTCAATCTGTTCTTCCGGAAAATGAAAAAATCAGTTTTGCAAATTTCCAGAAAACTCACATCAGATCCCTATTTGGGACAAATGAAAAACGCAGTTTCAGTTTTCTGAAGAAGTCCTCTTTTTTAGAGTATAGGTATGCAACAGTTACAGTAACTAATAAAAAACTGTAACTGATGCGTAACATTGACTTCTAACCACTAGCTAACAGTAGATGTTTCTTTTTACACTAGGTGATATATTATTGGACGAGCCAAGCGATATGGATACCGAAATTTATGACGAGAATAAACAACTGGAAGCCGGTGATTAATTTGCAAAAAAAGAGTTTTCTTTCCTACCTGACTTTTTTCTTTGTAGATGTGCCATTAATCTCGGCTGATTTATTAGCAAACACAACACTTGACGTTTCTGATGAATGTGTCAAAGACAAAAAGAAAAGAAAAAACCTGTCGGCGCAAGGTATGATATTTTCTACTGACGAACATTAGAAAAGAAAAAGACTGTGCCTTAATTTGAGAGAAATGGTATGTTTTACTTGATACGGAAGAATTATTTTTTCGACTAGATCTGTCACAATATCTCCTTTCTCCCATTTCAAATGACCATAAAACCACTGTCTGTTTCAGACAGTGCACCATAGCTGTGAGCACCTGTATAAGTTCAATTAAACGTGTTGACTGTGAAAATGCGCAAAAAATCTCAATATAACCATGAACAGTGAGAAATGCATATATAGTTTGACTGTCTTAAGTTTATATGGGTATCCTCGGTATTATTCATCTGCTGTCGTTTGCGTCATTTGGAGTGTACCAGGTGCCAGTTCGGTTCTCTGTACGCATCGGATTCGAGCAAGGTTCTCCTATATCTATTCAGAGAACACTTAACGAACTGGTATCGAGCGTCCAGATCTTCCAGATCTCACTTTCCATGAGTCCGAGCGTGAATGTTTTCTTCACATACGTCAGCAGTTTCCTAGTTGGTAATACCCATATATTCGTGCCACACGACATCAGCCTATCTCACTTTCACTTTGAGATCTGATTCCAGTCACATGTCGAACCAGAATTGGGAAATACATGGGCAGAATCCAGCTATGAGACTAAATTTTTTTTTTAAAAATTCTCGGTTTCTTAAAAAGTTGAACGTTGTAGCCAACAGAGTAGTAGGGTACTTTATTTAGGAGAACATTCGCAAGCAGAAAAAGGTCTATTAGATTCTAAAGATTCTCGTCGCATTTAAAGTTCCGAGGTATTGATGTGTCGTTGTGTCTCAATTTACTCATACTATCGCGTATGTTGTTGTTTTTTCTAGTAAGAACTCCATTGTCGGCCGTAGATGACAACACAGCGAAAACTGTAATTGATGACGATTCAGATGAAAATGAATTAGTTTCGATAGCATTGCTAAACAAGAAAAAGAGACAAATAAGAAACAAAAGTATGGATGTCTACGTGAAGATCTACGCACTACAGATTGCTCCAATCATGTAATTCCAATATATATGTTGTTTCAGGATCAGCGAAAAGAACAACAGATGAAAATACGATGTTGAAAATTGAAGTAGTCAATTTAAAGAAAGAACTTAATTTACACAAACAAAAGACCGATCAAAGATTTCAACCGCTGGAAAAAATTTTACGGGTATTAAAAAGAAACAAAAAGTATCAGTTGGTAAGGTATCAATATTCACGAAGCAAGTAAAATGACATATTTTTAAAATTTATATTTTAGAATGAAACACCCAGTTCTCTATCGGCAGTCAGTTATTATGAACCCATCATGGCATCGACTGCACAAGAGGTATCTATAAAAACAGTTGAACATTCGAGTGGTATACGAGCATGTTTATTCAACGTTTACCGTCTCGCAAAAACACACATTTTTTCCAATACTCACACCGTTATATGGTTTGCCTTACACTATGCGGATTTCTTTGCTTTTAGTTTGTTTTGGGTATTGACATTTCCAAATTCGATTATGCGTTTAACGAACATACCAAATATGCTCGTAAAATCGTACGAAGACTGGGTATGGCCGAAAATCCAGATTTATTTTTATCAAATCAGCAATACATGAAGGAACTTGAAGGTGTGACTAGCTACATATGATGCTCACTGCTCAATGATTTCGGAACATGTTTTTATAGATTCAATGAAAAAACGCGATAATTCGTTATCAGACGAAACAACATTATCGTCTCAATTACACGTTGTGAAAAAATCTTTACGCCAATTGAAACAAGACGAAAAAAGAAAAAGAGTGATGCAGCAACAACGACGAGATCTGAAATTGTTGGTAGAACTACGTGATAATCCGCCGAAATTTGTTGATGATGAATCAAAATCAGTTGATGAACAACTAAAATCACCGAGTGATCTGACAAGTGAGTCGAATGAAAGAACAATGAATGAGAAAGAAAATATGACTGGAACAGTATCAAACGAGACACTCGAAGACGCGAACAATTTGAACAAGGGTTAGAGAAGAGACTGAACATTTTTCAAGTGAATGTTCAATCCTCACGTCACTTGTCTTTGTTATTAATTTTGTGTTTTTGTTTCTACGTTTTTGTTTTACAAGGATACTTGATTTTGTCAGATGTTTTCAATTCTTTTTTTGTACATGAATGTGTAGCGTCGGTATTTTTTTCTAATTACTAATCAAAGTGAAATCAACAATCGTTTTTGTTCCCGATAATCTTTTTAGATCTGTTTGTGTTGTCTGTGTTACATGTTAATTCGTTGAGAAACGTTTAGACACCTTATTTGATTTTTCCTTCATTCTCAAAAAAATATTTGATTGATCGCGAAGTAATCTTGCTAAAAAAATCGCTTTTTCTTGTACATATGCATACTAATTGTTCTGTTTGTTGTTCGTGATTTTTCCTACTCATATATATCTTAAAACAGTTCTGTAATCTATTTTTGTCGTTTCTGAAATTGTTTTTTTTATTTACGCGTGATTCTGTGACAGCTTTGTTCCGCCTGAACAGATGAAACTGTTAATTCAGTTCGTTATACCAATAAATCAACTTATAGAAAAAGGGAGCTGTCAGCACACAATGCAATGACACGAGTACGCATCACCTCTGTAAAAAACAGATTGTCTGCCGGCAGGATCTGCGAGAAAGCCTGACGTTTCACTCCGGCGGACAAAAATCCTATGGACAGGCCTGTGTATGTGTGCAGAAAACATTGTGTTAGACCTTGAAGATCTGCGCAGTGCTCTGCTGCGGCATACAGGGACAGACTTCTCGGCAGGCAATGTTTTCTTATAGGGAAGTATAGCACAGGAAAGCAACGATTTTGTTTTGAACAGTTATTAATGATACACATGAGTTTCTTGAGGTATGTACATGAGTTTCTTGGGGTATGTACATGAGTTTCTTGAGGTATGTGCATGAGTTTCTTGACATATGCACATGAGTTTCTTGAGGTATGCAGATTGTTTCAGCTATTTCTTCTCTCATGCACATACTTCAAGCAACACAAGCGCATAAGACAAGAAAATCAAGCACATACCTCAAGCGTTTTGTATGAGTAAGAAACTCAAGTGCATGGAGACAAATCTTGAGGTATGTGCTTGCTCATGTGCTTGAGAAAAAAAGCTTCACTAGGGTTGTTATTTTTATCTTCAACTGTTTCTAATTTCTGGAATGCTGGTGTGAAGTGTGTCGGTGTGTCTTTTGATTTTTCTAAAGCGTTTGACTCTGTCTCTCATTCTCTTTTGTTGGAAAAATTGTCGCGTTGTGGTCTGAGTGATTCTTT